ACCTTTTGTTACCCTGTGCAATATCTGTTTCTCTATATTTGACACCAAGTGCAATAACTATATATATATATATAAATATAATCTATCTGTCATCAGCCTGTCTGTGTAGTTTGCTCTATTTTATGAAATCCTTTGAAGTTGAAAAAGTCCTAAAAGGCTTTTTTTTTTTAATTATTTTTTATTGAAAGTTACCATGCCACAGGTGGTAAAACATCTAAGAAACTATAAAGTTTATGAACAGCAACAAGAATCTCTGGTGTAAACTCTGTTTAATGGTAGGTTTCAGTTTCTTCTAACACAGTTCATCCTTTGTACATTTATATCCGCCCTAGAATGATTACGTAACTTTGGCGCCCCTGGGCCTTTCCGTTCCCTTTAAAGCCAAAAAAAACCGAACAAAAACCGTGTAATAACATAAACAGACATCTCAGCGCGGGAAAGAGCCATCTGCCAGCTAAAAGTTAACCGCTCTTCACTCTTATTGGCTACTTTTCACGTTCTCCTTGTCCTCATTGGCCAATATGGGTGTCAATTTACAAGAGCGCGCGACAGTTGTTTAAATTCCATTGGACAATAAAGGCTCTACGCAATGTGCGGACGACGCAGTGTTGTGGCCTGTGATTGGTTAAAGGCGCCGTTGAGTACAACGCTCCTATTGGCTACTGCTGGCAGTGTGGGAAGATTCCTGAAGGCCATTGGATTGGAGTCTGCTCAGGCGGGAGTTTGCAACGCGGGACGATACTTCAGAGGGCGACTGAGGATTGTTCAGAGGAGCTGCTGCGGCTGAAGGGAAATCTTATAAACGCTCATTATTTGGCGACCTTTAGGGAAAATATATATTTTTGTACCTCTATGGAAATGAAGGACATATTAATCCCAGATTGAAAAAGCGCCGTTCGGGACACTTTTTTTTGTAAGAAAACGGAAACTTATTTCTTTCTTTGATATTTTAGGCACTTGTACAACTATTTTAAATAGAATGGCCGATAGCAAGCATCCGCACGTTATCTTCTGCAACGACTCACCCAAAAGGGTTTTGGTATCTGTCATCAAGACTCCCATCAAACCCAGAAAACCGGAGAGCCTGACTCCGACCAGCCCGGGCTTCAGCGACTTCATGGTCTACCCCTGGAAGTGGGGGGAGAACGCCCACAATGTGACCCTGAGTCCGGGCTCGGGGAGCGGGGCCGCTTCCCCAACTGGGTCCCAAACAGCCACGGAGGCGGACAGCGCTGCTTCCCCGGACCAGATCAAGGTAAACAGATCTGAAACATCTAACAGAACCCGACACAATGCTTAGGTTGAATCAACTACTTAATATTAGAGCTCAACTTTTACAAATTACTCTTATTATCATTAATTAATTAATAATAACACTAATTAACTACTCATTATTTATACATGTATCTGTCAGGCATGCAAAAATCAACATCTTCAGAGATATATTAAACTTGGATATGTTCTGCTGATCGATAAAGATGGGGAGTCATTTAAAAAGTAGAAAAAAACGCCCGCGCTTTGGGTGTGACAGTATGGATTTTAAACCCTGCAGCTGCTCTTAAAGATGACGTGTAGCCGCGCGCCAAAAATGTAACCGGAAATGAATGAGCTACAATGAAACCTTTATTACACGTGAGATTAAAGACATCAGAAGCAACGTGGTGGAGTGGAAATAACCATCCTCAACCCATCTCTCTTTACTTTTGTGATATGGACTCTTGTAGATTTGCATTTTAATATTCCACCACTGCAATTCTTCTGTTTTTATTTTTTATTCTTATTATTCCCTGGTGAAGGAAATGACAACCTGCTTTGTGCAGAAACATCTGTTAGTCTGTACATTTAATAAGA